TTATATGATGATGTTTTGGATAAGAGTTTTATTAATTTAAAAACGAAAAATTTTAGTCTAAATTTTTGGGACGTTACACACCTACACATATACCATAACTCATTCATATATATAAATATACATATACAAACATAACATATACCATAAGTCATTCATGTATATAAATATACATATACAAACATAAATATACATATAGTTTCACCAACTTATAGCTATTAATATCGTTCGTAAAGTCGTGTGCATCTTCGGGATCCACATACACATATACATACAAACGCACACACACATACACATTCACATATACACGCACACATATACCATAACCCATACACACGTAGACATAAAACTACTCACAAACACATATACATACACATATAGACGTACACATATACGATAACTCATTCGTGTATATAAATATACATATACAAACATAACACATCACAAGTCGGTGATAGTATATGCATTACAATGTTAAACCATGAAATGAGTAATGGATGTCGAAGGTGTACACAACTTTACGAATGATATTAATAGCTATAAGTTGATGAAAATAAAGATAATCATGTGTAATAAAAGTGTGAAAAAAAATGAAGCGGAAAAAATGAAGTTCGGTGCTCGAAACAATCGAATATAAGAAAATTTCGTAGGTAAGTACCTAGGGATTTTTCTTATTTTCGATTTTTCGGGTACCAAACTTCGTTTTTTCAGCTTCGATTTTTTCACAGCTCTCTTTTATACATGATTATCTATACTTTAAGAAACTTATAGCTATTACTATTGTTCATCAAGTTGTGTGCACTTTCGAGATTAATTACTCATTTCATTGTTTAACATTGTAATGATTATTAATACTTGTGATTTTTGATACACATACATATAGACACATACACACATACACACGTACATAAACTTACACATACACATTCACATTCAAATACATAAATACACACACACACATACACACACACGCACATACATATATATATATATATATATATATATATATATATATATATATATATATATATATATATATATATATATATATATCAAGGTTGCAGAAATCGTTCGACGGTAGCTCGGTGGTCGAATGGGGTCAAAGGATTAATCGGCTAGGCGGAGATTAATCGGAGACCATTAAATATTAATAAATTATTAAACAATTAATAAATATAACATTAATCCTACAAATATAACATTAAATAAAACATTAATAAATACAACATAAAAAATTAAGGTAAAATATGGGCTCAAAATACAAGTAACAATCCAAATCTTTAACTTCTTAACTTAACCCTTGATAAAAATTATATTGCTGTAAAAAAGAATCAATAAATCTAGAACTAATCTCACACACTTCCAAGATAACATAAAACTGAACTTAAAATACCAATAACAATCCAAACTTTTAACTATTTTACTTAGCCCTAGAAAACTTGTTTTAAGAGTACATAAAAATAATAGATACTCTTAACACTTCACCTCCTTCAACCCAACACCAAAGTACAAGAATGTTGGATCGGTTACACCTTCTTTGTAATAAGCAAACACAATACTGGTACCATCATGGACACTCTCTCCAACAAAACTACACATAATTATACATAACATTAACACCAAGTTTTTGAACGACATGTTAAAATATGGAATCCATTCATAAATGGAAACTTAGAGCAAAAGAAAACTTACAATTGAAGGTCACTGAGCTTTGAGAGGAGGTACTTTGTTGCTGCTTCAATCGTAAAAATGGAAATGCATCTAAATTCTATTTGGGACAAAACTCGTTTGCAATTAGCTGAGGATGAGATTGAGTAAAAGATAATGCACATTGAAACCGTCAATTAAATGTTTTCAATAAATTCTTCAAGCAAGAATCGTGGCTGAGTTTATGGAAATCATCAATTTGTGAGTGTACCTCCTTGATTGTCAGCTAAAATATTTGCTTAAAAGATCATGAATTGCATTAGATCAAGTATCAGTATCCATCTAGATACATATTATTCGTCATGGAAAAAGAAACAGTTGAAATTGAATAAGAGAGAGTAAAATTAAGATACCTGATTCGACGCTAAAGGAATCGGCGAATGTCAGTAGTAAAGGAACCGGCGAGACTAACAGCAACAACATCCTCGTTAATCTGAGTTGCCAAATCAGGGAGAAGAACTATCCTTCGTACACTCGAGTCGTGATACCCTCCATCTTCGAAAAGAAGGGCGGGTCGGTGATTGAACTCAAATTGCATAGTAGGGAAGAACGAGATGCAAAGTGGATATATGAAACAATTATAAGTTTATCCCACATCGTTGGTGGGAGCATTCTTTAGAGGCAAACTTATTCTATAAAAGGAGCTTCTATCTCTTAGAAAACCAAAACAAGCTATGTTGGTGAGCTGTCTCCTTTGAGCTAGCGGGTTTCTGGTCCGATTAGGAGTCCGAGTTGGTCCGATTTAGTCCGA